CGGAGATCGCGGTATTTGGTCCGTTTCTCCTCCTCCTTCGAGGTGATGTATTTCTCCACAGGTACCGAGAACTCAATGACATACATCACTTTGAGTTGATGGTCGAGGAGGACAATGTCAGGCATGTTGGCTTGGATTAGCCTGACCGTTGGAAACGATTAGTTCCAGTAAATTCGGCATTTCTCGTTCTCGACAACGAAACGGGCTCAATATATCCGGGGACATAAGGCAACACTGGTGTCTAGTCTACCCTGTACGAGTGCCTTAGATGGTAGCACTCGTAACGCAGCGTCATGTCGGTGGATGTAGCCGAAATCGCGTATACGGGGCATGCAGATAATATGTGCATGATAGATTCCGACGCCTGACGGCAGGTCCTGCAGTTGATGTCAGAAACCTCTACACGCGACACGCAGCTGCGGTAGACCAAGGTGTTGATAGCATCATCTTGGCTGGCCATAATGAATCCCTCGGTCTCCGACTTAAGCCCGGCTGACCTTAGAAAGGCAAATGTCAGCTTGGTCGATAAACCAGTGTTTCAATGTTCTTATAGAAGACACCATGCTGGGGTTTATCGACAGGCTGCCGAAACAAATGTTCCTGTTCGGCAGCTCTAATTCGGGCTTTCAGGTGATTTAGCTGAAATTCAGTGACAGACTCTACATCAGCACCTCGCCGGCCACCTCTCCTGGTGTCGAATGCGAGACCGAGTTCATCTGCTGCTCTTTTTGCTGCCTTGAACAATCCTGCTCCCACTCCTACAGTTTCGTGATGTTTTACAAACCGCAAGAGGGGATCTGAGCTTCTGAGGATATTACATGCCATACTCAGTACTACTTTGCCATGCGCCTACTCCAGGCTCAAGAGTCCTCGGCCCCCTGTTAACGTGGGCAGTACACACGAGGCACGGAAGATTTGGGATGAATAATTCTGTGAATATTCATCATCTTGCGGGTATCTCTGTCTAATTGGCGCAGGTCGTCGATGGAGACATTTTTTATTATTATTACTATTATTATTATTATTATAGGGAATCCCAAATACTTTCATAAGGTATCTAAATATTGGTACTGTCCAAAAACTAATAGCATACCTATGGGCTATATTTTGGAGAAATTTACCATGCTGCAGATAAAACAATTTTCTTTTATATCCCAAGATAGAAAAAAACAAGGAGAATGAGGCAATCATATTTTCAACATTTTCCGGAAAGACAGCAACCCTTTAAAGACATTTTTACAAGGTTGAAAAATAACTTGAAAGTGTTTGGGAAATTTGAAAAGCCAATGAATATAATAAAGAAAATCCGGAAAATTGAAAACGACAAACGTCTTTGGGTATGTATGCTCAATTTAAGCAAAATATTTATCATTTTCGTGATTACTTACGTACTGCGACGAGAATTAAAAATTTTTGATAACCAAGAAATATATCGTTCAATATGTTTGTAGTGTGATATCCATAAAATAAGTAATTATGGATATCGTAAAATTTTGATCAACCGTTATTGCTGCCACAACAAAAATAATTTCATATCTTTTCAGAAAAAATGCCAACCTCTGTGTCAGTCGTAGAAAATGAAGTAGGTCAAAGTCACATAGAATATTGAAGAAGAACAAACATATTTCGTACAAAATGAATATTTCACAATTTCTCTACCCAGATGACCCTGCAAGAAGAATTCAATTTGTCGGTGGTACCTAGATAATTGTGATCCTAATTTTCACACAAAGCTCATATGGTCTGATAAATCCATGGTAACGGGTGATGGCATTTTTAATAAGCAAAATTATAGATACTGGAGTGATACCAATCCGCACGTATTACTACCAGTTCGTCGGCAAGGTAGATTTAACCTTAACATTGGTTGCCTTTTGAAAGGTCATAATACGCAGACCATATTTTTGAAGAAAATCTATACGTTGATAGATGTCTTGCTATTCTGGAAGTCAATCATCAGCAGTTAATGAACTCCTAGAAGAGTGAAACCTTTTCGCTCATCAAGACAGCGCACCTGCTCATAATACTCAGTAAAAACATACTTGAATACCAAATTTCCAGAAAATGGGTTAGGCATTTACAGTCCAATTAATTGGTCACCATGCTCGCCCGATCTCACCTCTCTGTATTTTTTATTTTGGACTTTTTAAAACCGGAAGTATATAAAGAACTTATTAATACACTGGAGCAGCGTTTGAAAATAAAACCAGTTCAAATTTTGGATTCAAAACAATGGAAAAGCTATTGAAAATCTTATTTATATTTTCTTGTAGTTTAAGCTTTATTTGTTTTTAGTTTTTGGTGTAACCAATTATTATTGTCCTGAGCTTATAATAGTTGGCATTGGTAATTATAACACTGACGTAGTTTTCCACGAAACACCAAAACACTATATACTGCGCTCGACGCGCTTTTCGCTAACCAAGTTGGCATCATCTGTAGATGGTCAAAATTAAACTTATGCTAACAATCTACCCTATTTATACCTAAACTATTATCACGGTTCACCGAACCGTCGACCCACTAACCAATAAAGCGGGCTATTTGGGATAGGCCCTCTGTCACTATTCATACTATATTTACACTTTTTGATTTCCAAGCTTTCAAATGCATCCAGCTGTCTAGTATTTGTTACATTCCTAATTAATTTTAAACTGCTAATATCTATTTTATGGTTGTTCTCAAACGCATGTTGGGCTACACTAGACTTATCTGTTCTACCAAATTTGAGATGGGCCATATGTTCTTTTAATCGATTTTGAATTGATCGTCTAGTCTGTCCAACATATTTTTGATTACAGTCCTTACAGCCAATTCCGTAAATCTCCGACTTTTCCTTTGTTTCAAATTTGTCTTTTGGATTGCCTAAAAGTTGTTGTTAGAAAAATTAGAAATAGTGAAAATAAATTAGAATTTGAAATTTACAGAAAAGATACCAGTATTCTAAGATATATCCCTAAGGACACTCACCATTGTGCTCAGCACAAAATAGCGAGTTATCATTTTCTAGTCCATCGTCTATTAAGCTTTCCCTTCAATAAGGAGAGGTTTGAAAAAGAAAAGGCATTGATTAAGGATATAGCTGCGAGTAATGGATATTCTGTAAGTTTAATTGATAAAATAATTAGGAAACGAAAGTTTAAAGAGTCGCTTCGAAATTCCTCGACCTTTAAAAATGAAAGAGAAAATCCGAAATTTGTATCAATTCCATTCGATCTTCGATTCACCCGTTGTATTGGTAAGATTTTTTAAAGATGTAAGTATGACAGTGCTTCATTCATCGGGAAACAGACTACAACAATTTTCAGGCAATCCAAAAGACAAAATTGAAACAAAGGAAAAGTCGGGGATTTACGAAATTAGCTGTAAGGACTGTAATAAAATCAATATGTTGGACAGACTAGATGATCAATTCAAACTAGATTCAAGGAGCAGATGGCCCATCTCAAATATGGTAGAACAGATAAGTCTAGTGTAGCCCAACATGCGTTTTAGAACAATTATAAAATATATATTAACAATTTAAAATTAATTAGGAATGTAACAAATACTAGACAGCTGGGTGCATTTGAAAGCTTGGAAATCATAAAGTGTAAAAATAGTATGAATAGTGACAGAGGGCCTATCCCAAATAGCCCGCTTTATTGGCTAGTAGGTCACGGTTCACCGAATCGTGACGTTTCGGAATCATCTCCATATGATGCCAACTTGGTTGGCGAAACGCGCGTCGAGTGCAGTATATAGTGTTTTGGTGTTTCGTGGAAAACTACGTCAGTGTTATCTTCACATCAAAGGTTCCAACCCACTTCAGGATTGGTAATTATGTTCTTTATTGTGGTTGACAATAGCTTTGTTTGTAGAGATGATTTGTGATAGTTTCATGACTATAGAGATGCGATTATTATGAGAGTTCTGCATTATAAAACCTTTTGATTAAACAAGCACATCTCTACAACAATGTGCGCATGCTTCTGACAGTTTCAACCAGTTGGAAACTGCTCTACGAATAAACCTATTACGTTTGTTCCAACAGGCAATCCAGGACGGTTAAGAAATTTATATTCTGATTTGGTTGGTCCAGATGAAGAAATTCCGTTCTAGATCTTGTTAATTGATTGAAATTCGGAACTATTTCGAACTGTCAGATCAAATCTAGTACAAAGTTTGCAACACTTGGTTTTGTTTTCCCGTGAATTGCTGAGGATTTTGGTAAAATTTCCCAAAAACTGGTTTCCTTCTGGGATTATATACAAAGTGTTCATATTGTTGGAAACAAAATTCAAAGATGCATCCTATCGAATAAAAAAATACAGGTTGTTGTATTTGAAATAACAAAGTTATATCCGATCTTCTTTCCCATACTGTAGTAAAATTCTGATAGCGCAGTTACAAGTAACAAAATATGAATAAAAAAGGTTCTTGAAAATTTTCAGTATCTTTTAAGATACAAGAGTTATGGGTTTCTTCATAACCCATAAATGTTATATTAAATTTTAAATAACACCAATATTTGCTGAGATGCTCTATGAACGTTCCAGTTTGGGATTCCCTGTATATGCTTTTCAGAGACAGCCTTCTTAAGATTCTAATACTATTTTTTAAAATGCACATTTAAGAAGAAATTTAACTGTCTCATCAACCTGTAGTGATAGATGTATTGACTTGTAATAACAGCTTACAAAAACGTAATAGTTTCTATATATATCAAGCATATTTACAAAGTGTAGAAATACTTTGGAAATAAAATTAGAGCATTTTCATTTTTTACTATAAATTACTATTTATTACAATTTAGATATTGTCTATAGTTATTTATTGTGGCATCCTAAAATACAATTATTATTACAATTTAGTAGAATAAGGTAATCCGTTACATAAAGTGGATACCATATTTTTGACTGTAAAGAAATAGGAATTTAAAATATTCAAAAATACGATCTGAATTATGTTTATTTATTTATTCCTAAGATTAGTGTTATATCAAATCGATTCAGCAACCTTCGATAGCTCAGTTCGTAGAGCGGTTGACTGTACTAATATAGACATCTATAGGTACTTGGTTCAAATCCTACAGTGCAGATATCGAGACGAAGATGTATTATGGAATTGTCAACTTAATTTCAATTTAATCACTAAATTTGTATTTTTTTGTAAGGCTTATTATACTAGCCTTGTAATATTTCTGTTAGCTATCTGAAGAATCTAAGGGCGGAAACAAAGAGCAAGAAAAAAAAGGATAGGTCTAAACTAGGAATAGGTATAATGTGGGAATAAGTTTTTCGATTCACTAACATTTACATAGAAAACTGTATGGTAGAAATTGACAGATATCATAAAAAACTCGAGTCCAATAAAATCTGCCATCATCGGTGTAGAAGAAATGTGTTGAAAGATCAGGGCAATGCTAAAATATTTGCAATATACGAAATATACTGGGGTAAACTATCCATTAACATTTATAGTAAACCGGAGGAGACAAAACTTATCTGGCTATGCATTAAGTTTGCGTTTGCGGGATCTATGAATATTAAACTTGTACTAATACTTGGCTTACAGGTTATTCCCATATAGACAGGGGCGGTTCCACATGGGGACCTGGACGGCCCAGGCCCCCTCAACTTCCTAGCTGCGTTTATGATTTAAATAAATAAATTGCACTAGTAACAAGAAATTGCTAGGACTAGGTATATGCACGCGACAATGTACAGTGTACATATAGACCGGCTCAGTGTACATATAGTCCAGAGTAAACGACTAAAAAAAAAATTAAATTTGGAAGTCTTAAATTAGCTACATATGTGTAAATGACATCATTTTGAAATTTGTATCACAGTTATCTTAAAAAAAATATAGTGTCAAGGTTTATTTTTTAATAGCTTCCGGTACTTTCTCAAAAGGAGTAATTTTCTGACAAATTTTGAGGAAATGATTATTGCAAATCTTAACTATCAACCAACAAATTTAATAGTGCACCGTAAAACGGGGAAAAAGTAGCTTCCTTCTTGAAAAAATTTTTTTTAAGGTACAACCACTTGGGACCTTCACAGCATGATAGCCTAGGTCCTTGGCCATCTGTAATGGCCAATTACAACATTTTTTTGGAGGTCAAACTTTTTTTATTACGAAGAATGTCATAAATTTGTCAAAATTAAGTTTTCTTACTTTTTCACACATCCCTCATGATATCTCCGGAACCAATCGAGATAATTATAGGTATTTTTTTTTTAATTGATAAAGGAAATGTGGGCGAAGGTCACTGCTTTAATTTCGTTTTTATGGAAAATTTAATTTTTTTTGTAAAACTAGGTAAAACTGGAACGTTTACTTTCCTTGCTGCATTTTTTTCGGTAAGCGAAAAACTTTTTTTATTTTAAGGAATTTTGACATACCATATGTGTATGAAATAAAGCTTACACTTCAAGGAAGTTTTTTAAAAAAAAGTCAGTTCTCTACGACTTATGGTTTTCGAGATTTTGTTTTTTAAAGTTACGAGTTTTTCGATCCTAGATGCGCCTCACTGCGGCGCCACTCAAGTGTGTAGAGTGTAGACTATTGAATACAAGTAATCTTATATTATACATAATATATTGTCAATTAGAAACAAACTTTTCTTTGTGTAATGTGAATGCGAATGAGTATTATTTTTATTGAGTTTTTACATATTATTTAATGCTTAACAATGGAATGTTTATTTTATGTTATCAGAATTAAAATCAGGTAATACAATTCTGGTAAAATCTGTTGCTACTGATGTCCTGATTTTGCTTTTACATTATTACTGTGAAACACCAGATATATCCCAAAGGAATATATTTATACAATTAGGACATAGTAAAAATATACATTTTTTGTCAATTAACAATATTGTGGCAAATTTAGGAGAGGAAATTTGCAACAAAGTATTAACGATTCATTGCCTAACTGGTTGTGACACAACTAATGCCATGTATAAAATAGGGAAGAAAACGGCATTCGATGTTTTACATATATAAAAATTTAAATAATTTAAAAGATTTAGAAAACCTTCCTTTTCTGTCAGAGGATAAAGCGATGGAATTAGGGGTAAAATATACGCTTTATTTATATAAGAATAAAAACAAAAATATAAAATCCCTAAATGAACAGAGATGAGACTTAACAACAAGTACAAATCGGCCAGCTTCTCAGCTGCCTCCTACTGACTATGCTTTTAGACAACATTTAAAAAGGTAATAATTATTTTTCTAGATCGCCCATACCTATTAAAAAAAGAAACAAAACACCTACATGTAATTATTTTCTTTTTAGGTATAATAATATAATAATAATAACACCACATGAAATTTCAACCCTCTTTATCCCTGAAGGTCTGGAATGACCTTGTGTGGGAGAGGGCTACACATTTAGAGATAATGGACACACACCCAATGTCCGAGTATACTACGATTATTCTCTCTCACAGAAAAATCCCAGTTCCTCGACCGGGAATCGAACCCGGGACCCCGAAGTTTTGAGGCAGTACATTACCTCTAGACCACGGAGCCAGGTGTCTATATCAATTAAAAATTTAGTACAATAGCCATATACAATACGTGCAGATGGAAGATCCAACTCGATACGGTTGGACATTTGAAGAAAATGTTTGGAAGACAACTTTTTCTAGTCAAAAATCTGTGCCCGATATTGTAAGGCAAAGTGTGTCAATAAGATGTTCCGACAGGGTCTGTAACAACAGATGTACCTGATTTGCTCAAGGTTTGAAATGCTACAGTGAGTGCAAATATGCAAACTGCACCAAGGAACTGTCTAGATATTTTTAGATACCGACGCGCCAATATCCATTTGGCATGATGACGGTCTCGGATGCTAGGGCCAGGCAGGACTATTGCCTTTTTACCCTAGTCATCGCTGTAGACCTGGACCGGCCTCGTGCAGGGCGGGTTAACTTACTTTACGAACGGCCCCACTCACAAATGTGAGCGGTGCCGAAGATTTCGGTCAACCTCCCTGGGTCCTGGCTGATGAACCCTGCTGGCTAGGGCCTCTTCTGGCGCTCTTCTGTCTTCGTCTTCTTTCTTCGCCAGCTTGTCACCCCCGGGGGTAGTCATGTCTGTCAGGGACTGTGTGGATATTCTGTGACTTGGGATTGACTGCCAGTACACAAAGTGTCAATTGACACATTGTCATCTGGATCATCGGACAAGGTGAGGATGAACTGTGTAGCTCTAGGAGGTGAAGGCCTAAGTGCTTTCTTAGCACTTTCGTCCTTCACGGAGCCAGGGGGACAACGGGCACTGGTCGGTTTACTGACCGGCGCCCGCAAGGTTTGTGGGAGGGTGGTTGGTCGTGTCATGTCTTTTCAGTGGGTTTGGTCCATCTGTAAGGAAAGGATTAGTTATACTTACCCGTTATCCAGTAACTGTACCTTCGGCCTCTTGTGCCTCGGTGCGTCGGCCGGATCATAGGAGGTGGCCTCCCTGATCAGCGGGTTCCTGTGCTCCTCAGCTAAGGTGTACAGTTTCTTCGCTCTATCCCGGATGATTTCGGTGACTGGTGTGTACTCCAGGTCCCTGAAGATGTCAGCGTTTCTAACGTACCATGGCGCGCCCACCGCTGTCCTGATGGCCACGTTTTCCACGGCTTGGATCTTCTTCAGATAGGTCTTCGCTTGGTATCCCCATGCTACGGAGGCGTAGGTCAGCTGTGGTCTGATGAGTGCTTTGACTAGCAGAAGCTTGTTTCTCAGACTGAGCCTGCTCTGGTTCCCTACCATCGGGTAGATGAGAGCTCTCGTCCGCTTGGCCTTTACCACGATGGCTTCGGTGTTCTGTCTCCATGTCAGGCCTTTATCCATGATTACGCCAAGGTACTTGACGGAATCGTGCCATTGGATGTCCTCGCCGAACATGGAGACGTGTCCTGTGGGGGTTTCCTTGCGTCCTTTCCTGAAGAGAATCGTCTGGCTTTTCTCCGCGTTGACTGCGACTTTCCACTTAATACACCATTCTTCCAGAAGAGAGGCTGCCTCTTGGAGTCTTCTGGTGGCTGTTTCCGCTCTCCAGGATCTGGCCGTGACGGCCGTGTCATCCGCGTAGAGTGCCATTGCGGTGCCTTCGGCCCTTGGGAGATCAGAGGTGAAGACAGCGAACAGATGGGGTGACAGCACAGAGCCTTGGGGGACTCCGGCTTCCATCGGTCGATACGTGGACACACAGTCCCTGATCTTCACTCGCATCTGTCTCCCGTGCAGGTATGATCTAACTAGTTTGACGAGTGCAATGGGATAACCCATACTCATCATTTTAGCTAGTAGACCATCGTGCCAGACCCTGTCGAAAGCCTTCGCAACGTCCAGGAGTAGTGCCGCCGTGACCTGTCTTTGGTTGAAACCTTTGGTGACTTCTTCGGTGATCCTGAGCACTTGGAGTTCCGTACTATGTCCTGTCCTGTACGCGAACTGTTCATCCGGGATGATTTGGAGCTCTTCGGTTTCCTCTTCTATTCTTCTCAAGATGACGCGCTCGGCTACACCGACGTTGACGATTTTTAAAATATTTTTATAACAAGTTTTAAATTTATATTTTAAAATAAATAATTATTTCGTATTTTTTTTAATTCAATTTTAGGTTTTAATGTATAAATATAATGGATTTTAAATAAAGTGCAATGTAAATAATGATAAGTAAAACCTAAGTGCTTATGAAAATAAAATTTATATTAAAGATATGTCAAAAATAATACTTTATAATATGCACCCACAACACGCATAGCACACTGATTAAAGCACAGTAGAACCGGGGGAAATATCCTGCCCGCAGAAACTTAATTTCAAATAACAATAACTTGAAACGTATAAGTCGTAGAGTATTGCGTTGTTTTTTAAAAACTTCCTTGATGTGTTAATTTTATTCCGTATGCATATACTGTGGCAAGATTCCTTAGAACAAAAAAGTTTTTCGCTTACTGAAAAAAATACTGCAAGAAAAATACATGTTAAAGTATTACCTAATTTTATAAAAAACTAGGTTTTCCATAAAGACTAAATTAATTCAGTCACCGCCGCTCACGTTTCCTTTATCGACTAAAAAAAAAAAACTTGATT